ACCTAGGCGTTCAGACTAAATGACCATGTTTTGATCTGTTGACGGTTGTTCCTATATTAGGCGTCGATTGAGCAGGGTAGCAGTAACGTTTCTTGGTGTGTGATTTTTAGTTCTTACTCTTCTGCGCTGATTATACACCGGCCCCAAACTCATTCGACTCGCACAAACGCATCGAAGACCTTTGAATGTCCAGAGAGAAGACATCCCCTAAAGTAAACTATATAGTCGTTACCTTATCAGGTAAATTTGGCAGTTTTTTGAGATCCTAGATTTATTCGGTATGCAAATCGTTGAACCCAAAACGTTTGTACACTTACAGTTTTTTCAAGTGAGAAACTGCCCACGGAGAACAGTGTAGTATTCATGCGCGAGTTTGGCACCTGGCTTCACATTAGGCATTTTTTAAACCAAAAAGCGTTGATTGGTGTTTAGGATTTTTAGGACCTCATCGTCTGTTGATCAAAAGAGTTACGGAGATAAAATAAAATAAAAAGATTGCTAGTTCCCAAGGAATTTTTGGGCAATTTTGAAAAGCATTTAGGTTATTCCGTAAAGTTCAGGTGAAAAACTTCATCTCATAGTTTCCCCTAAATTTCTGACCCTGTATTTTTGGATTCATGCGCTCACGTTTCATTGTCGCGTGCAGGTTCTGAGTTAGACAGAACAGAAGTATGCGTGTTACCATAAACTCAACACGCGGTGCAGCCGCTTTCCAAGAACTGTCTCCCATGATTAGAATGGTTTAAGTGGGGCATACCAGCAGAGATATTTAAATCAAGATTGTAAACCTAGCAGTCAACCTGACGTAAAAGTTTTTCTTGGCTTGCGGTAACTAAAAGCACTTGGTATTCGATTTTTGAAAGTACACCATTACAGTTATACACAAAAAAATTGACGTCAAAATTCTTTAGAAATAATATAAACTTGCCTGACCTAAAGACGCTACTCAGTGGCGGATCTTACTTTAACGAAGTATGCGTCATTCAATTAGTTTCCTCTCGTTACTCACAAAAATGTAAATAGATGAAACTCCCCTTTACTTAGATCGAAATCAAATTATTTTGTAAGCACGGTTTTTGTTGCCTGATTAACGAAGGTTGCCAATGTTCACAGCAAGTTACAGGGTACTGTGTCCGACAGGATGCAATCTAATCGACCCTATTTCTTCAGTATTTGCTCCTGGAATTTAGCATTACAGTCAAAGCAAAAGCCATTATCCTCACATCAACACAACGGAGTGTGTGTGCCGGCTTGTTGGGTTTTCTATTCCTTCCGTCAAGAATAAACATGAATTCTTGGCAGTCATGTTTGGGTCGGCTGCAAAACAGAGAAGAGACACTGGTTAAATATATTTTTAGCTCAATTAGAGAAAATATGTGAGGCAACTTTTGTCGCTTATTTATACGATCGCAAAACAAATGGAGCGGGACGATCCGTATAGTTTTGGCAGTTGTCATTGAATCCAATATTATGCTAATTTTCTCGTGAAGACACCCTAAGTGCAGCACAAATTGATAAACAAGTATCTACTCACAAATGATATATCTGAGTAAATTACGGTTGTTTTGTAAACATAGCAAAGGTTCACGGTTTTTAAATCCTAAGACACTATCAGCTATGGTGTTGGGACACTTCTTTTTATGCCACTGTTCAGCCGCATGTAGATCAGAGGGGTTGTAGAATACTCTTCCGATAGGCCACAATATCACAAACTTCTAGGAACGGCGGTCACCACATATTTTTTCCGGTTTAAGTAAACGCAAATAGCACATCAACAAGAAGATACATGACACTTTTTGGGTTACCTTTTGGCATTCGTAAAATTTCGGGCAACCAACCAAATTCATAAAACATTATAAACAACTGATAACCTCAAATATCGCTGTTCAAAGTGATTCAGTCATCTGAGGCCAATCGCTTAATCTTTGTGCAGGTCGTGGGCATATGCCTTACCACACCCATTAGTTTAAATATGCAGGTGGTGTAGCGAAGCATTCGACAGCAGGGTACGCATATGGTATTTTAATTTAGAAGTCCGTAGTATTTCTCATCATAGACTGGAGGCATTAATCATAAGGTTGATGGAGGTACTTTGACAGTCCTTGACCGGATTCACCCCTCTCTGGGATTGTCAGCTAGGCACAGTCCCGTAGTTTCCGTCCAAATTATGTTTCACTAGAACCCAAATTGCATGATATTAATAAATTACACCCACTTGCATCGCAATTCGATTTTGCGGTGGAGAAGCGCCTGAAAAAAAGACGAATCTTAAAAGAAGTGATTTACCTGGGTTTCAGGTGGGTCTTACGTCAAGACCAAATTGGTGTGTAGTTAAGTGTACTTTACTGTTGTCCAAGCATGATTAGCCAGCGCCAATAGGTTTTTATCAGCAATAAATCAGCTACGTTTGAAATGTGGTGTTTTAATTTAAGCGCTGTTTATTGACAAAACACCGCCCGGGGACCACCCAATAGACCTTTAGAGGAAAAAATTTAGAAATTTTTCTATGCACAGAACCTTAAAAACCTTCTAAATATTGCACTTAGTTGGTAGAAACATTCAGTTTACAACTGAAGTTTAAGTAATGCTGTACATAAATCCGGGAGCTGATGAAACCTGTGGCTATGTGATAAAATGTAGGATAACATTCATATCCGGCGTTATCTCGTTGGCCTGGGTCTCCACCGTACACTGCGCACTGCTCTCTGGTGGAGGCAACAAATCGCCCTTCGAGATGACTATCCTATTCATAATTGTGCTGACCACCACGGAAAACGTGCTGGTGATTCACGTTAAAATAAAATTGTATGTATTCATTTCTGCGAATGAGAAAAACAATTATCAGAGGCTCATGTTATTTGGCAAATTAGAGTTTCTCGTTTCGGTTAATGTAAGCTGGGCGGTGCGCATTTGCAAAATGCAAACTGTGGTTTACTATGTTGAATTCTCTAGACCCCCGACTGGGAACTCCCGCGGAGGACACTGATTCACCGGTCCAAGTACTCCAAAATTGTGGATATGGCCAGATGGAGAAGTCTGAAATGCAGAGGATGTTGAGACATTGGATGGAGATTTTCAATATTTGATTTGAATTCACCACCTATATCGAAACCGTCTGAATTTGAGTGACATTGTCTGAAATTGCTAGTGCTGTTCATAGACCTTTTCAATAGCCAATGGTATGCTCATTTTTCCATCCAATACAAAGAAAGTTGCGGGGGGAAGTTTTGTAGATTGGGAAGTTTGTGATGACCCAAGCAAGCTTAGTGGTTGACTGCTGAACTGTGCGGAATTTTACATACTCCGATTTAGCCAAAATGACTGACGTCCCAGACCAAGAGCTGATGTCTCGTCTGTCTTTGAAACCCACCTGGTGGTTTGATCTCTATATGGGAGGAGAGACAAAGTGATTTTGTGGTCAGAGGAACATAAAGAAGACCACTCACAAGGTTGCTGAAAACTATTCGACAGCCTGCGACCGGTTTTGCCCTACTTGGAGCTTGTGGAGAATCGTGGCAAACTGGTTCAAGCTGGCGCTGCGAAGGCCCTACTCAATTTATCTCTAAAGTCTAATACAGATGGAGGGAAAGATATTGCGGCACAGGCACTGGCTCGACTCTCCATCACGTCATATCCGCGTGTGGCGTTTCCAGGGCAACGGTCTTTGGAGCTCGGCCAACCGTTGTTGCGCCTTCTTTCAATCGATCGTGATGCACTGCAAAACGTTGAAGGTCTCTTTGCACTAACTAACCTGGCCTCCCTGGATGATCTTCATAGGCATCGGATCATGGCGGAACATGGTGTCCCTCAAATCGATCAGTGTCTTTTCCACGAGCATCCCATGTTGCGCCGTGCAGCCACAGAATGCGTGGCCAACTTAGCACAGTATCATGCATTTGTTGTCGTTTGTGGTGGCACTCTTCCTCTGGAAGAAGAAGATCTCGGAGCAAAGTTGTACTTGAGCTCGTCCACTGAACGCGTTAAATTACTAGCCCTTTAATGCTGCGCGTTTGAGGATTTGCTCCTGGTCCGTGCAGTCCCCGCCTTTCCGTCAACCTTATGTTATAAACGTTTCTTTACTGTACTGGCAGTGTAAGCACGGTTTGACAATGAGGCTAGATAATTAGAAATATAATTGTGAATCTTGATTGGGGCCTCAAATTGTGCTCCATTTAAATTGGCCTTCACAAATAGTATTTTTGGTACGGCCTTTATCCTTGATCAAGTTCTGGAAACGATAAAATTCGGTACATGGCGAGTCTGGTTACCGCTGTAGTTCACCAGGTGATACCTTCTGGCGAATTTATTGCGTGTGGTATTCCTTCGCCTACGTTATCAGCAAGGACTTGAAAAACCGCAACATGATAGCGGACACATTTTCATCATCTTTCAAGTCCACACCCATTTATCCGGCACTCCACTCCCCGTCTTACGCCAGAAACCATTAAGCTTCCGGAAATGTTACCTCATACAGCAAAAGTTTCCGTTCAAGTCCTGAAAACGGTCATTAAAAAGATTCATTGGATGGAGATTTTCAATATTTGATTTGAATTCACCACCTATATCGAAACCGTCTGAATTTGAGTGACATTGTCTGAAATTGCTAGTGCTGTTCATAGACCTTTTCAATAGCCAGTGGTATGCTCATTTTTCCATCCAATACAAAGAAAGTTGCGGGGGGAAGTTTTGTAGATTGGGAAGTTTGTGATGACCCAAGCAAGCTTAGTGGTTGACTGCTGAACTGTGCGGAATTTTACATACTCCGATTTAGCCAAAATGACTGACGTCCCAGACCAAGAGCTGATGTCTCGTCTGTCTTTGAAACCCACCTGGTGGTTTGATCTCTATATGGGAGGAGAGACAAAGTGATTTTGTGGTCAGAGGAACATAAAGAAGACCACTCACAAGGTTGCTGAAAACTATTCGACAGCCTGCGACCGGTTTTGCCCTACTTGGAGCTTGTGGAGGATCGTGGCAAACTGGTTCAAGCTGGCGCTGCGATGGCAATACTCAATTTATCTCTAAAGTCTAATACAGATGGAGGGAAAGATATTGCGGCACAGGCACTGGCTCGACTCTCCATCACGTCATATCCGCGTGTGGCGTTTCCAGGGCAACGGTCTTTGGAGCTCGTCCAACCGTTGTTGCGCCTTCTTTCAATCGATCGTGATGCACTGCAAAACGTTGAAGGTCTCTTTGCACTAACTAACCTGGCCTCCCTGGATGATCTTCATAGGCATCGGATCATGGCGGAACATGGTGTCCCTCAAATCGATCAGTGTCTTTTCCACGAGCATCCCATGTTGCGCCGTGCAGCCACAGAATGTGTGGCCAACTTAGCACAGTATCATGCATTTGTTGTCGTTTGTGGTGGCACTCTTCCTCTGGAAGAAGAAGATCTCGGAGCAAAGTTGTACTTGAGCTCGTCCACTGAACGCGTTAAATTACTAGCCCTTTAATGCTGCGCGTTTGAGGATTTGCTCCTGGTCCGTGCAGTCCCCGCCTTTCCGTCAACCTTATGTTATAAACGTTTCTTTACTGTACTGGCAGTGTAAGCACGGTTTGACAATGAGGCTAGATAATTAGAAATATAATTGTGAATCTTGATTGGGGCCTCAAATTGTGCTCCATTTAAATTGGCCTTCACAAATAGTATTTTTGGTACGGCCTTTATCCTTGATCAAGTTCTGGAAACGATAAAATTCGGTACATGGCGAGTCTGGTTACCGCTGTAGTTCACCAGGTGATACCTTCTGGCGAATTTATTGCGTGTGGTATTCCTTCGCCTACGTTATCAGCAAGGACTTGAAAAACCGCAACATGATAGCGGACACATTTTCATCATCTTTCAAGTCCACACCCATTTATCCGGCACTCCACTCCCCGTCTTACGCCAGAAACCATTAAGCTTCCGGAAATGTTACCTAATACAGCAAAAGTTTCCGTTCAAGTCCTGAAAACGGTCATTAAAAAGATTCAATTAAGACGTCGAAAAGACGGGTATTCTTCAGTCAGCTCACATCACTGTAAAATGAGAGAGGTTTCTGGAATACTACGTAGCAGCGCGCGTCATCTGTTTTTGTCTGTTTTCGAAGACATTTGGAGCCAAAATATTATTCTCTCAAACATAGCTAGACAGCTGGTTACAAAATCATGAAATTATACGCCAGTTTTTTTTAAATTGAACATCACACTACCGTTTAAACCCAGTTTATTGTGTGCAATAAAACACTAATGAATTCACCTCGATTTTTAAGCAACTTCAGTGTTTTTCTTGTTGTGGATTATGATAGTGTGAAATGGAAGGTGGTGTCTTGACGTAACGTCCATCAGTCTTCCAAATTGCTTTTGCCTGAAAAGGCATATACATTACGCAATAAACTGAACTTTATTTTGCAGCAAGCACCGGCAGTAAACAGAGCAAAAAGCTTTCTTGCACCGACGCTCTTGCAATTTTTATCTGTCAGATAGGAATACAAGCATTATGGCCTTTGGAATACCAGGGGCTTCGTTTTGCATCTGCTTTGACTCGATGCTACCCAGTGGAATAAATTTCCATCTTTGTAGTCTTTCAAAATGGCATTTGTTCGATGAATTTCATTGCTGGGTTTATTTGCTTATCACATGAATCATTTAATGTCATTTTGCGTCCCGGAAAATACGGACCCGTATTATGACAATCAAAATTCGGTGGAAAACGTGGCTTTTTACCAAGTAAACGGTAGTACGTTGTTAATGGGGGACGAGATGGCCCAAGTGGTTAGAGGGCGAATTTATTGACCAGAAGGCCCATGGTTCGAACCCGACCTCTGCCACTCGACTTCCTCTGTTTAAGCTTGGGCAACCTGGCAGTATCCCGGTCCTCGTGCTTCCTGTGAGTGGCATGGCAGCTGGGCACCAAAATTGTGCTACAGCTGAACGAGTATCATTATTTGCGTTGTTATTGCTTCAAGAAGTAGCAAGTCATGAGAATTCTGAAGTAAAATTCAGGAAGTTTAGAAATGATGTCTTTTTTGTACATTAAATATTTCCCACATCACCCTGTTTACAACACTAAGTAGTCTCTTACAGCTTTAAAAAAGCAGTGGTGTATCTGTTCGTCTCAGGTTTTGTGTGAGAGTCAATCCTACCACTGAGTAAACCTACCGGCATGTATCTCCCTGGTTGATGCATTGAGCATAAGTAGCAATACACTGAGCCACTGGCCAAATATATTTAATGCAAACGAAAAAGAACCTCCATAAATGAGATTAAAAATACATATTTATAAACACAAATCTTTAATAGGGGTGTTTTTGCTTGGTCCTGGCCTCACACTTTTAAGTTTACAAGGATAATGCGAACGGAATTGAATGTAGTCTAAGAGCGCGGCACGTGATCACCTATTATTCCGTTAGTTGAGCAAGGCAGTTGAGCTGCAGATGTTGCCTCAGTGATCAAACTGAAAACTTCAGTACATCGTCGTGATACACATGCATAGAGGATACAAGTAAAGCGCCGGTTTTTGGTATCTGAAAGCAATGGATATCCATGATTGTCCCTGAACGGAGGCTGAAGAAAAGGGGCATATAAACGCCTCAACGGTACCAGCAGAGAGAAACTCTGAAGCGGATATTATAACAGGTTTATTAAAGAAGATAGAGGTCGTTGCATAGAATAAACCCTCTTTAGTTGTTGTAAAATGATTACAAGATCAAATAATAATATCGACAAAACAGAACCAGCGTTGTTAGTTTACTACTTTATACGAACTGATACGAGTTTTAAGGCCGAAAGTAAATGTCGCAAATGGACAAACCTGTGTGACTTGAGATGTTTCTTCATACCACAAAATACAAGGAAAATTTTAAGAATCGTCCACATGGACAAACAAGAAGGGTGATAAAATTTCTGAATCATGGGACTAGATGGTGTACTTAGTTGACCAGGATGAAGTGCTAGATTCAATGCACCACAAGGAACATGCGGCTTGGTCAAATTAAGATCGAACTGAAAACCTTGCCAAGGAACCGTGAAAGTCAAAACCCGCTAGCCACATCAACAAAGAGCAAGGCAAAAAATACGGAGAATCAACCTCAGATGTCACCCAAATGACAACCAGTGACATGATGTCGAAGAAAAAGGTCAAAATTACATGGACCAAAAACAGCTCGGAAAAAAGTTAGCGGATAATCTAGGAGCACAACGTTCGGGTGCAGCCAACCATATTATCTTCAGTAAGAAGCGCATACCCATGCGACAGTGCTCACTGATCTTTAGTGAAATCACCGTCGGAGTGATATATAAGTGACGTGAGTTTCGGGATTTGAGGAGAAGGAACGGTCTACCAGATCATATACAAAAATGTACAGAAAATATCATGGGTAGTTTATAATAGTGTGGAAGTTTTGGGTGACAAATCTCAGTTTTGAAAAACAAAGCTGCTTCGTGAATTCCGTCTTGTAGCGTGTGACAGTAGTAGCCAAAACTGACGAAAGTGGTATAAAATGTGAATGATAACAACGCGAATGTGCTTACATAAATTCACAAACTTACACACAAATTAAGTCTGAAAGCTGCTGACCAGACAAAGTCAAACGAATATTTCAACTCTGTCAGTAGCAAAATTGTAACTACGTTCATCACTGCACGAAATATGACTGACATGCCGACTTCCACGACATCGCGATTATCCCTTAGATCTCTGTTGTTCACGTCTATGCTAAAATGTTAGAGAAGAATGAAATATCCTACTTATGGTTTGTTTCAATATTTGGCTATATTTATTCCTTTATTACATGGCGTCTAACGCATTTGCTTTGTTTCTGTGCTCGCAATCCCAGCTTATTTCGCCTCACATCACACCAGAAAAATTACTCCAACAGCATACCACTGTTATATGCGATTCCTTTTTAGATCAGCAACTTCCGTCGCATCCCTAAACGTTAATTTACAAAGCTTTACAATTCATTTAGCATGACATTTAAACACTTAAAAATGTCACGTCCTACTATACACTTGTAGCACCACAGGAAGAGTTTATCAGCGGTCAAACTTTATTTCACCTGGGGAATTCAGGCTTGCAAAAGTGACCACAAAGAAACGGTCATTTTTCTCCTAGCATAATCATTAGCAACAAAAAAACTATCCACGGCGGTCATTAGCATAATCATACACAAAGGTTAGAACATTTCGGCCCCGAAGAAAGTGAAGTTTGCCGGATAAGTACTCTGTCGGATCAAGGTTGTCGAGAAACCACAACGCATAATGTGATATTATGAGGAACACGTGTGCACCAGATGGTTATAAAAAGAGTCAGTATGTAACTGAACACCACGTTTGATGATTTATATTGACAATTTGAGGGAAAATAATGAAAGAGGTTTAGGATGAGTGAGATCCCAATGACATTCTTTGTACTATGTTGACACAGTTTAGTTTGTGGTGGTGGATAGCTCATCTGTCGGATTTTTTTTAAAACTATAACTGGAAAAATTTTACGGGGCGTGTATAACCTAGAATGCTTCCAAAGCCTAGCGGATAATAAGGGCTTGTGTTTGTTCCGCAAACAGAGGTTGCATAGAGAAGTGAAATTTCGCATTTTTCCCGGGAGACTGGTTGAGATGGGTCCGTGGAACACCTTGCTGAATGTGTTCTCTATGATATCTCTTCCAATGCTGAGAATGACGGAAAACCTTAGGCCCCTCTAGGGTATCCCTTCGAATTCGGATTCTCCCACATTGGTATAAAAGCGAATAGCGACCAAACACCCAAGGCATTTATACGCAGATGGGCATTGGTAGTGGACGTTTTCCAAAAACGTCTACCCATACACCTCCGCGATACGTGAGATGTTTGTTGTTTTAGTTCTCACAAGTTCGTCTATCACGTGACCTACAAACGGATCATTCCCGACATCTTTTTATTTACTCAGATTTTTCACCAGTATCAGCGTGCGTGAATACAGCTGAAAGAAATTTATAAGTGTTGAGTTTTTAACTAGTCACTACGTGTTCACCTGTGCCTTGCACGTGAACAATCTTAATTTCGCAACAGCACCAAAATCATGGCACTCGGCTATCCGGCTTGTTTAATCGAATAACGCGGTGGAAGCTGACAGTTGGGGGTGTATCGAATGTTGACAAGTGTCCAACTCATTTACTGTTATTGTGAATTGCCAGCAGTTCACATTTCACAAAACGCCGAAGAGTTACAAGCCGGCGACCTGGCTAGTAGTCTGAAAGAACCCCCCTGAGCGGGTGATTAGCAGTTTGATGAACACGCAAGTGAACAGGATATAACGACAGAAATCATTCGGCCATGAAGTCCGCATCATGGGGTCACGTGTTTACCCGTTCTCAAATATTTTCAAGTGACTGAGATAAAGAATAATTTCAAAAGACGAATGATACTTCCATCTGAAGAGTCATTACTCGGGGAGTCAGTCAACACAACATCACGAGATGAGATACCGTGATTG